TTGGAGAGCTGGTTAGTAGAAGTCGGGCACATGCAGTGGGGGTTCAGCTAGCGGATGTCAAGATATCGCAGTATAGGGTGCGGATTCAGCTGCAACGTTTAAAAACAGACATGTTCGGAAAGGGGTGCCTGGTCACGCTGTTTTCTCTGCAAGGGTCGGCCTTATGATCGGTAGCATGTGCCACTGCATTTATAAAGGGTCGCTCTAAAGTTGCTGGTTCGCTTTTGGTGCACAAGAACGGATCTTCTCTGTCGCGCTTTCAGTTTATTTGAGTATTTCGACTGGGTTTACGGAAGTTGGACTCCTTAGAGTTTGGGACCCACTCCTTCCGGATTGGGGATGCAACTGAGGCATCTCGCCTAGGGCTTGGGGAGCATCTAGTCACACAGATAGGACGATGGGAATCAATACGATTTCGTTTGTACGTACGCCCTCATCTGGTTTGTTAAAGGGGTTGGGAGTGTTTGGCTGGGGGGGGGGGGGAGGGGGGAGGGGGTTTGTCTCACAATGGTCACGATTCTTGTCCTCTTTATAGGTCGGGTAGCATGGCTGATCGGACACTCCTTCATCTATTGGGCACACAGGTGAACCGCTGTTCGGAAACAGGGAATGCAGCTGGGTTTCACCTGTGACATGATTTCACTGTGTTGGATTAGTTTTTAGGGTCACAACTGGTTAGGCATGAGCAAAGAAATGTTCAAACGCTTAGGTGAGGGTCACCCCCCGACATTACAGAAATACATGCCGGCGGTAACAATTTTGGGCCGCATTCCCCAACGGTAATTAGTGAGGCTAATGAAGAGGGACATGGACTGGATCAGGGAAATGGTTCCTGACGTGGTTGTGGTGTGGTCAGAGATGGTTCCTCGGCTACATTGCAAGCATGCTAGAGACCTTGCCGCGGTGGCTCGTTGTAGGGAAAAGGTTAACAAGAGTGGTGAGACACAGGGAACTAGAGGGAATACTTCAGGGCTATTATAGGATGGATGGGGTGCATCTCTCAGACGTTGGCTATGACTTATGTGACAGAGTGCAAGGCATTGCTATGGATGGAGTGTATATTTCTCCAAAAGTATTGGAATATTTAAATTAATAGCCCCAGGAAGAAGGGCTGTCTGTTTTAGTCAGAGCAATTTTGCTATTTAATATGGGTTCCTGGGGTGGAGTGAAGGGAGGGCCAGTGTCACGTATTCATCCGCTTATAGAAATGTGGTTAATGACATTTACTGTCCACACAGGAAAAGTTGTGCCGAGCAGCAACCTAATCCACAGAAGGGTTAATGCTGAGCAGTAATTGTGCAAATGAAACCTGGTGTCATGTATTCATCCGCTTATAGAAAAGTGGTTAATGACATTTACTGTCCACACAGGAAAAGTTGTGCCGAGCAGCAACCTAATCCACAGAAGGGTTAATGCTGAGCAGCAATTATGCAAATGAAACCTGGTAACTGACTTTGGGGTCAAAGGCCGGTTACAGCCTATCAGAACTAAAGGAGGGGTATTTAGGCCCAGTTCTCAGCCTGCTCAGTGCCCTGTCGTGGTTTCCCTTGTGGTTGTCTGAGAGCGCGTTCCTGTTTATAGTTTTCTACCTGGTTTTTGACTTTGGCTTTGTTTATTGACTTCTCTATATTCTGGTATCCTGACTCCTGGCTTTCCTCATCGCTGTGTCCCTTTCTGTGTTCCCTGACCTCGGCTAGTATTTTTGACTATTCTTTGTACGTTAAATCCGGCCATTCTAAGGACCGGTAATACGTTACTTATTTGTCATCCGTGCTGTACAGTTCTACGTGCTGGATCAAACAGTAATCCTGACAGCCAGTGCTCCATTCCACAGTTTACATACAGCACAGCAGGTGAGCAATCCAGTCCAGGCGTTCTGGATCACCCAGATATTTGCTCACCTGTTGGCAATGATTAGCACAGGACTGCTATAAAATTTCCCTGTCAGGGATTCACAGGGAGAAGGACAAGCAGTGTGTGAGACTGCATTTTTCCCTACAGGAGTCTTTATGTTCTGAAGGAGAAAGGAAACATTTTTTTGGAAAAAAGGTCTGTGCTCAAATTTGTATTTTGTATGATTGGAAGCGAGTAAGCTGCCCAACAGCAGTTAGAGGAAAAACTGAGTTAGTGCTCAGAAGAGCAAGGCTTTTCTTTTTGTTTGTTTGTTTGTTTTATTTTTCTTTAAATTGCCAGACCTTGTAACAAAGAAAGACTGCATTTACAAGAAATTCGATTTGTGTGGTGTTCCTATCATTAAGACTGTGTGATTGTATGGTCCCAGGTCACATTTACTTAATCTTGGGTTTCAGGAGGGCATCAGCAAGGCCTTATTTCTAATGGGTGGGGTGCTGAGGTGGCTTGAGGTGGTCAAGACCTGAGCTGTGGCAAGGTAGAGTGAATTTAATAACGTGCAGGGTTAGGTTGAGTGGAAAATACTCACAGGGGTTGCAGTGGTTTTGTAGGCTCGAGCTTGTCGATGGCTCCGAACCTGGGCGTGAAGGGATGTCACGGTATACCCTTACGGTTGGTCATATATTGGAAAGCATGCCACTTAGTTGGTTTGTTATATAATTAAGTACTGTCACATCATGGTTTATATCTTTATGTGTGGGTCATTGCCTGGGTTAATTACAGGTGGTGGGTGAAGGATATTTAAGTAACGGGTGTTGGTGGGGGCAATGACCTTATGTTTATAATATGTGGTTTTTTTTTTTTTTAATAAAAGCTGTGGACAAACATTTTCCAACGGTAAATTGTAGTCTGCGTTTTAATGGGTATGGGTATTCAGGTTAATCTGAAAATACAACTATGCGCATGTCAAGCGATCCAAGAATAAGTTAGTGAAGACAGTGGGGTTTGGGCAATGCAAGCAAAGAGAGAGGGAATAGCCATGCACAGTAGAGATAAATGCCCCCCTTTCCACCTCTTAAATCGGCTTCAGGCAAATAGAATGGAAATTAGTTTGTGGTAGGCATAAGAGCAGGCTTCCCCAAACTCCGGTCCTCAAGATGTTGTTGAACTACAACTCCCATGATTCTATGAATAAAATAGACTGAAAATCATGGGAGTTGTAGTTCAGCAACATCTGGAGGGCCAGAGTTTGGGGAAGTCTGCATAAGAGGAATGAAGTTGCTTGACATTGGGTAAAAATGGGTACTCATTACTCAGAGGAAAAAAAAAAAGTCACTGCCTTATGATTAGATGAAACCTAGGGCAGGTTATGTATTCCATCCATGGGAGTTGTAACCTAGCAACAGACAGACTAGTATCCCATTAAGCAATCTTTGCAACTGATTATTGATTTGAGCACCTCTGCTGTTTGTCCTCATTGTCATTACAACATCTGGAGATTGGGAAAACACTTAGATACAATAACTAGGTGTTTCCATCTTACTTATCCAGAGTTTAACGATTATTACAAATAAGTATAGTTAGGGACAGTACACTGTGTACAGAATCTCTCTCAAATCAGGGGGCATGTGGGACTGGGAATAAGTCCATTTAAATGGGGGAAAAAAAAACACCCAAAAGACTTAGAAATGTTAGTTACTAGTTGTCTTTTCAGCTATAACCCAAGATAAAACTTAATCCCTTAAAGGGACACTCTGAAACACCTAAAGCAGTTTAGCTTGCTTTAGTGTGTCGTCTTTTTTCATTTTACAAAACGTGTAGAGATCAATAAAAAATTGGTACTTTTTTAATAAATGAACCACCCTTGGCTTTCAAACAGATAACTGACCCTCTTACTTCCTGGTTGTTTGACGCAGTGGAGAGAAACTGAAGAAGCAGCAATTGGCCTTGCAAAGACTCTAATTGAGCTGCATTGGAAAGTATGTGATTGGACAGCCACAGAAAGTCTGGGTAGGGTTAGAAGGGGAGGGCTTGCAAAGGATTCAGACAAGATAACTGCAGGTTTTGCAAACTGTCTTTAGATATACCTCCAATAAAAAAATGGATAATTAAATGCATGCATGTTTTCTTTTAGAGTATAAATACCACAAAAACAACTGTTTTCCTGGCACTATAGCTTCCTCATTTAAAGCTACACCACAGGTTATGTGATATGGTGTATATTTTTTTTTTTTTCAATTTGAAAATAAGTTTTATTGTTGTGATTGTCAAGCATCTTTGCGGCGCCTGCTCGCCAGGGTACAGAAAAGAAAAGGGATAGTGCAGGAACAATAATTAACATTGGTATTACACAATGACCATTCTTTATTTTCCTTTTATTATCAACCGGTACTACTCATCACTTAGGGCTGTCACCTTTCGAGCTTGTCCCCTGTTTTGGTTAATGGTTATGTGATTCTAGCCTCTGCGTCTGCTCGATACGTTCCACGTCTATCATCTCTTTACACTTCTTATGGGGTTAGTGACCCTCTGTTTGCCATGTCCTGGTTCCCCCCATTCTGAATTGTTCTCGCATCGGTCCCCTGTAGTGCTACTGGACTCTGATTCCCCTCTGACCTCTCTCTGTATTCCCTCCATCTTTCCCCTGCTTTTTTAATGTTTCCCTGTGGTGTCAAGTGTTTGAAAGCCATTAGTTCATACTTCCAATTGGTTTCTGCTTGATTTATTAATGCGTTCCTGTTCGGTACCTGGGTTGATTTCCATGCTCTGGCTAATATAGTTACTGCAGAAATCAGCATGGGGAAGAGCAGTTGTTCCTCTATTTTGTCCAATGTTGTGGGAATCATAAAGAGTACGCATTGTTCAAGGTTAAGTGGCCATTGTCTACCTATCAACTTCCCTATCTCTTTTTCCAGCATTACCCAGAGTGGTGCTAGTCTCTCGCATGACCACCATATGTGTCCCATTGTCCCTCCCTGGGCCCCACACCTCCAGCATCTGTTGGGGGAGTCTGGGTATATTTTGGATAGCCTCTCTGGTACCATATACCACCTGTATTGTAGCTTTCTTATAGTTTCTAAATGTGTGGAGCATTGTGTGTTTCCCTTATGAATTCTAAAGGCCCTCTCCCATTTTTCTGGTGTTAGGATGTATCCCAGTTCCCCGTTCCACGCTTCTTGGAATGGCATGACTGTTTCCTGTGGCTCGTTATGTAGCTCCTTGTATAGTATAGATAGTGTGCGTTTGGCTGGTTTTGGTGAGAGGCATAGTTGCTCTAACTTACACCCTTGTTGCTGTGTTGTGTTCTTTACTTCCATCCCCTTGAGAAAGGACTTCAATTGTAGAAATGGGAATATGGCTCTGTTTGGGAGGTGGTATAGTTCTTGGAGGTCTGGAAAGGTCATTAACTTTCCTTCTTTGTATGGGTGTGTGACTGTAGTGCACCCTCCATCTCTCCATTGTTTGTGTTCAAATGTTGGGATTCCTACCGCGAACACGGAGATCGGGGCGTTCCCTGGTATACTGTCCCGGGCCCTCTCCCTGTCCTCTGTCTCATCCCAGATTGTCAGGGTTGTTAAGGTAGTCGGTCGATGTGTGCGGGGCGTAGGTGTCTTGGCAGCCAGAAAAGGTTGTGTAGGCCATGCCCTCCCGCCCAATGGGCTTCTCTTTTGGTCCATTGTGGGGTTTCCCCTTCTGTCGCGGATGCTTTAATTGCTGCTATGTGTGCGGCCTTATAGTACGTGTGGATATTTGGTAGCCCCAACCCTCCCCTTTCGACCGATCTCTGTAGGACCCAGGCTGCCACCCTTGGTTTCTTCTTTGCCCATATGAATCGTACCAGGAGACTCTGCAGTGTTTTAAAATAGGTTTTTGGTAGTTTTATGGGTAGTGTGCGTAAAAGATACTGGAGTTTCAGAAGCAGCATCATCTTTATTGCTGCCAGCCTCCCTACCCATGATAAGTATTTGCCCTCCCAACCTTCTAGAGTCACCGCTAGTTCTTTGTAGAGTTTGGTGTAGTTTTTTTCCATTAGCCTATTTAATTGGATCGCAATGTTAATGCCTAGGAACGTGATGTGGTCCGTTCTCCAATCAAATGAAAAGGCAGATTTAAGTCTATCTAGGGCTTCCGTCCCAATCCCCACCCCCATGGCTTGAGTCTTGCTAATGTTTAATTTATAGTACGAATGCCGTCCATATTCTAGAATTGTTTCCACCAGGTTGGGGAGAGATATCTGGGGTTGTGTCAGGGTGAGCAGTACGTCGTCAGCAAATAAGTTCGTTTTATATTCCTTGTCCCCTATGGTCACCCCATGTATTGAGGCGTTTTGTCGTATGGCTATTGCAAGCGGTTCCAGTGCTAAAACATATAGCAGTGGGAGAGCGGGCATCCCTGGCGAGATCCATTTGTTATTTGGAAGGGATCTGACACAAACCCCGCGTTTAAGACTTGGGCTGTTGGCCTGTTATATAGAGCCCTGACCGCCGAGAGGAAGCCCTCTGGCATCCCAACCTTAGTAAGGACCGCCTCGAGGAACTCCCAGCTCAGTCAATCGAAGGCCTTTTCCGCATCTACTGCCACCACCACGCCTCCCATTCTCATGCGTTGGGCACTGTATATTATGTCAAGCACTTTCTTGGTGTTGGCCCAAGTGAGTTTCATAAAAGGCAGACGGGGGAGACGAGTGGATGATGTGCGGGAGCAGGCTTCCCAACCTGTGCGCATATATTTTAGCGTATAGTTTGGCGTCGGTGTTTAGGAGGGAGATAGGGCGGAAGTTTTGGGGGCAGGTGGGCGGCTTTCCAGGCTTGGGTAGCGTTATGATGTGGGCTAGTAGTGTTTCACGGGGTAGGCTTTGTTGTTGAGTGGCTTTGTTATAAGTTTTCGTTAAATATGGCACCAGGATGGGTTTGAATGCTTTGTAGTAGCAGTTAGCAAAGCCATCTGGGCCTGGGGCCTTGCCCGTTGGATTGCTGCATCCACCTCCTCTTCGGTGACGCTGGAGGAGAGTTTGTGTTGTTGTTGCGGTGTCAGTGAGGGCATTGGTATCTTGTGCAAGTATTGTTTTATATGCTGTGGTTGTGGTTGGTGTGTTTTGGCATCATTCGCCAGATTATAGAGGGATGCATAGTATTTGGCGAACGCATTGCTAATGTCCTTGGGGGCTGTGATCTTGTGTCCCTCCTCTGTTTGGATGTGTGCTATCTTTTGTTTAGTTTGGAGTGTTTTGAGGCGCTGTGCCACTAGTTTGCCTGCCTTGTTTCCTTGAGCGTACTGTAGTGCTTTAAGCCTCTGGAGGTGCTGTCCTGTTCTATCTAGCGCTTGTTTGTGTATGTCTTGCGTAAGCTGTATAATGTGTTTCTTTAGGTCTTGTGAGGGGTTCCTTTGGTTTAGGATCGTGATATCTAATAGTGCCTATTGCCTTTCCTGCTGTTTTGTGTCTGCCTGTCGTTTTGAGGGTTGCCGCTCTTTGGATCAGGAGTCCCCGTGCTACTGATTTGTGTGCTTGCCACATCGTGTTGTGGGATGTGTGGGCTATCGTATTTTCTGCAAAATAGTGCCGTAGTGCTTGTTCTAATGTTTTACAGAAGTTGGGGTCCCTGAGGAGAGAGGCATTAAGTCTCCAGGGGCTCCTGTGTGTGGAGTCGTATAGGTCGGTTAAAGTCACTACTACAGGTGCATGGTCTGGCCATGTGAACTGTTTGATGTCGCATTCTTTTATTTGGTCTAAGTGTTGTCCCTTAACTAATATGCCGTCAATCCTGGAGTACGTATTATGTACCGCAGAGAAGAACGTGTAGCCCCTTTCCCCAATGTGTGTCGCCCGCCACACGTCGTAATAGTTTGTGTGTGTGTGTGTGTGTGTGTGTGTGTGTGTGTGTGTGTTGAGTAGTTTCTGTACTGCTTTGCATTGTCGTTTGAGCGGTCGCATTCTGGGTGCTGATGGCGACACCGTGGAATCTACCATGGGGTCCATTACGTGGTTGAAGTCCCCACATATTATACTAATCCCTTTTGTGTTTCCAGTTTCTTGATTATTTTATGGAGGAAATTTTTTTGTCCTTTGTTTGGGGCATAGATGTTTATGATCGTGTATGTGATGTCATTGAAGTCGCCCACCACCATGACATATCTCCCTCCCTCGTCCACTTCCAGGTGTGAAAGGGTGAATGCTACATCCTTGCTAATAAGGATGGAGGCTCCCTTTGACTTGTTTGAATATGTAGCGTAGAACTGGTGCGGGAAGTCTTGCACGAACAGTGGGGAGTGTGAGTTCGTTTTAAAGTGAGTTTCTTGTAGGCACACTACGTCCGGGTTGTTTTGTTTCAAATCCCAGCGTAGTAAGCTGCGTTTAGCAGGGCTATTTAGGCCTCTGGTGTTGTGGGTGTATATTTTCATGGGGCTTTAAAATTTTTTACCCGCTTTTCCTGATAAGTTTCGGTGTCTATGTGTGGGGTTGCCGCCTCACCCAGCCATTTCGAACCAGGCGACTCCCCCTTGTGAAGCTGATGTGTTGTGCCCCCATGGGGGGTTCTTTCCCTAGGTAAAGTGGTGAGATGGTGGTCATTGTGTTGTGCTTTCTCTGGCTGACAAACGGGGTAGTAACATAACAGAACTAAAACTATAAAAACTGCCTTATACCTGGCTTGGCGCCTATCTAAGGTGCCCTGGGGGAAGAAGCATAGTGCTTCCATTCCTGTGTGAAGCCTTTTGCGGCCTAACCGCCGTTTTTTATAAGCTTCACCCTTGCTGTTTGTGGCCCGATTGGTGCTATGGGGCTGGTAGCAAACCCTAAACTCTAGAGTGTCTGTCTATTCCCTTTGTGTTCCCAGTGCCACTGAGTTCACCGCCCCCCCCGCTTTTGTATTTTCACAAGTGTCTCTTGTGCTGTACATAGTCCCAAAGTCTCTCAATTTTACTTGCCACGTTCTGCGATGCTTGCTCAGTCTACCTGCGTCTGGGCACCTTCCGCCACGTGGGTGTGACCGCGCTGTGGTCCATCGCGGTGGCTGGGGCAGGTGGTGTCGGTATTCCCCAATCCTGAAGTGCTTTCAGGCCATCTTCAGGGGTGTGGATGGCAGTTATTGTGCCTTCATGGGGGATGAGCAGCTTTACCGGAAATCCTCATCGGTATGGCTTCTTATGTTGCCGCAGTTGCTCTGTGATAGCCGCAAAGGTCTTCCTCTTTTTCAGTGTTGCGGCTGAGATGTCTGCGTAAATGGTTGTTCTCTGGTGTGGCTCTGGGAGGGATTGGCGTTGTCTGCTTGCTCTCATAATGTCCTCCTTAACGTGGAAGTAATGCAAGCGCACTAGCACATCTCTTGGCGCATCCGTGGTTAAGAATCTAGGCTTTGGAACTCGATGGTATCTATCCAGCAGGAGTAGGTCTTGAGGTAAATCCGGCGCTAGGACTTTAAACAGGCTCTGTAGGTGTGCATGGAGATCTGCCGTGCTCACCGATTCTGCTATGCCCCTGATCCTGAGGTTATTGCGCCGCGATCTGTCCTCCATGTCTGCTATTTTATTTCCCAGGGTTTCCAAGGTGTCATGCATCTCCTCCATGTCTGCCCGCATTTCCTTATAAGTTTCAGTCTGATCTGCCATTTGGTCCTCCAGCGTTGAGGTCCTGGCGCCCAGATCTTGTATGTCTGCCCTGATTTCTTTTAGGCCTGATTGAAATGTGTGCTGTAGTTTATCGTGCATGCGGTCTAACATACTTTGGAGGATCCCCTGGGTCACTGGTGCTTCAGGCTGGGAAGGCCTCTGCAGCTCGCTGGCGTCTTCCTCGGCGCCATCTTGCGGCTCTTCTAATGCGGCCGCGGGTTTGTGTGGAGCGCTCCGGACGCCGAAAAAGTAATTTTTTTTCCGTCTGCCGCCTGCCCTTCTGCTGTGCCATCTTGTCTGCGAGTCGGTGTGCGGGTTTTTGGTTCGGGTGGTTGTATCGCTAATTAGTTAGGCCGTGGTAGCACGGAGCTACTCCAACATGCGGCTGCTCCGGTCGAGCTCCAGGCCACGCCTCGATATGGCGTATTTTGAGGTTTATTTTACAGCCATCTTAGCACCAACTTTTAGTACCAAGTATTTGGAATTATTTTATTCCCTTTTTTTTACATTCATATTAAAATCTTGCAGATTAAACGTTTTAAACTTGACATGTGCTGCTCTCCAGATATGTGCTATATCTCCAGAATTACCCCTTTCACATAACCTTATCAAGTTTTATGAAAATACAGAGTAATAACATGGCAAATTGAAGATGGGTCAGTGGCGCATTTTGGGGCATATGAGCAGCTCACAATGGGATTCCCTTGCTGGCCCTAATCCTTAACAGTACCCTAATTCTAATAATAAATCTAATACTATTTATAAACTTAATCCTTAATCTCATCCTAATCCTAAGGGTTTCCCTCTGCTAATATCAGAGTTAAAACAGTAGAAAGCAGTATCTTGCTTCCATCTTCTGGCTATTTTCAGCATGACAGGGGTAATGCACTATTTTTACACTATGATCGGTGCTGAACAACTCGCAAAGCCTAGCACCAATCAAAATGGCATGGGGGCATGCAGGGAGACCGTGTCAGGACTGATCGGATCTCAGGGGTCTCCCACATACATGTTAAAGGAAAGAATTTATGTAGCTGAGCGCAATCACTTAGCCACCGTGATTTCAATTAATTTAACCCCTTAAAGATGCATGACGGACCCTGTCCGTTATGCTAGGGAAGCAAAAGAAAAGAAGGGGAGCGGTCAAGGATAGGGGTTTAGTGTAACACCCTCGTCCCGTATCTAGACTGGAAAAGTAGGGAATAACCCTAGGGAATACAATAAATAGTGGAGAACCAAAGTTGTCACTTAAATAGAAACTGACCACAAGGTTAAATTTCCAATCCACTCCAATGAGATCCTAAAGGGGAAAACAATAATAAAAAAAACAAAAGCACTTTTTTTTTTTTTATGGGTCCCTCCGTTATGGAGCACCTTATCACTATGCACACACTTTTTTCACTTAATTTTATTTATTACAAGATATTTTTTGTTTTGTTTTTAGTACTTAGACAGCCATTGAGAACTTAAGGGAATTACCCTAGACAGAGTCAGTGTGTGTATCTGTGTGTGTCAGGGTATGAATCTTTACGTGTGTATGTGTCTGTGTATATGCGTGTTTGTCAGTGTGTATCTCTGTGTATCTGCATGTGTGTCAGGGTATGTATCTATAAGTGTCAGTGTATGTATCTATATGTGTGTCAGGGTATGTATCTGTGGTTCAAGGTATGTAACAGTATGTATGTATCTGCATGTGTGTCAGTGTCTATATCTATGTCCGCGTCTGTATCTGCTGTTTGTGTGTCAATGTATCTGTATGTCAGTGTGGGTATCTTTGTCTGTATGTGTGTCAGAGTATGCATTTGTGTGTCATTGTGTTTGTATCTGTGTATCTGCATGTGTGGCAGTGGATGTATCTGTGTTTCACTGTATCTGCATATGTGTCAGGGAATGAATCCTTAAGTGTGTCAGTGTATATGTGTGTCTGTGTATTTTCGTGTGTGTGTGTATCTGCATTTGTGTCTGTGTATCTGCATGTGTGTCAGTGTGTTTCTCTGTCAGTGTGTCTATCTGTATCAGGATATGTTTCTGAATGTGTGTCAGGGTATGTGTCTGTATTTGTGTCAGTGTATGTATCTGTGTCTGTACCTGCATGTGTGTCAATGTGTTTGCCTGTCCGAATGTCTGTTTGTCAGGGTATGTATCGGTGTGTCATATTATGTATCTATGTCTGTATATCTGCATGTTTGTCAGTGTATATATATCTGTGTGTCAGGGTATGTATCCTTGTGCGTGTATCTGCATGTGTGTCAGGGTATGTATCTGTATCTGTGTGTCAGGGTATGTATCTACATGTGTGTCAGTGCCTATATACGTGTCAAGGTATGTATCTGCATGTGTGCAAGTACCTATATATGTGTCACTGTTTGTATCTGCATGTGTGTCACTGATTCTGTGTGTCTGTGTTCATATATGTATGTCATTGTGGGTATCTGTCTGTATGTGTGTCAGTGTATGCATCTGTGTATCTGCATGTGTCAGTGTATGTATCTGTGTTTCACTGTCTCTGCATATGTGTCAGTGTATGTATCTGTGTCAGAGTATGAATCTGTGTGTGTCTGTGTATATGCATGTGTGTCAGTGTTTTGTATATTTGTGTATCATTGTATCTGCATCTGTATGTATGTCAGTGTGCATGCCTGCGGTGTGTCTGTGTATCTATATGTGTCAGTGTTTGTTTCTGTGTGCCTGCATGTGTGACAGTTTGTGTGTCTGGGGCGGAAGAGAAGCAGGGAGCGTCTGGGGCGGAAGAGAAGCAGGGAGCGTCTGGGGCGGAAGAGAAGCAGGGAGCGTCTGGGGCAGAGGGGAGTCACAGAGGGTCTGGGGCAGAGGAGAAGCAGGTAGAGCATGGGGTAGACAAAAAGGGGAGATTGAACTATTGAAATTTAAATTAAATGCAACTATATTAATTACGACATCTTGCTAATGTGAGGGGTACAATTTATGGAAATGGGCTGCCAAGGGGTACTCAAGTGAAAAAAGGTTGGGAACCACTGATCTAGAGGAAAAAGTTTCCTACGCAAAGGTTCAAAATATGCCTTTTGAAATACCCTGGGATGTCTTCTTCAAGAAATGGTATGCCTTTATGGGATAGTTGGAATATGTAGCCTGCTAAAATACTCCAAAATGGGACCTGGACACAATGTAGAAATGGTATGCCTTTATGGTGTAGCTGGAATATGTAGCCTGCTCAAGTGCTCCAAAGTGGGACACGGGCGCATCAACACCCTCCATGAAAATTCACACTTAAAAACCTGAACTTGTCACGTCTCTTTTACAGAACTGTAACTTCACAAAATAGTGTCTAGGTCACATATTGGGCATATTGTTTTACTCAGAAGATGTAACTGGGCATAATTTGGGGAATTTTATGACAGTGGTACATATCAAGTGTAAGAAATACTTAGCAAAAATGCAACATGTATGTAAAAATGCAATTGTTTCCCCTCACCACAAACATTGACATAAATTGGTGGAAAAATGATAAATGCTATTGCCATAATACCCCAAATTGAGACATTGGCCCATCATATCCATCTATGAAAATTCGAACTATAGAAACTGAAATAGCCTTGTCTCTTATATGGCATTGTAGCTTCACAATATAGTGCCAAAGGCATACAATGGGGGTATCAATATACTCAGCAGATGTAGCTGAACACAATATGGGGTTATGTGCAGGAATAGCACACACCATCTTAACCAAATACACATTACAAAAATCTTGTTATGTGTATATGCCAAAATAGAGGAAAAACACTATTTAGCAGAGTTCGGCGATGAATTGGCTAACGTAAAGTGTCAAAATAATCTTGGGTAAATAGCCTGTGATGTCTTTATATAAATATATACTTTTGTGTGGCAATTTTGTTTTCTGTGATGGCTATTAAACCTACAAGACAAACATACCAACTTCTAAAATTGTTTCACATTGAAAATTTATGTTAGTCCTTTTATTTTGTGACCTGTAACTTTCAAAATAAGCTGAAATCCTATACATATTATGTACTCTATAAATCAAGATACATAAATGAATTTATTTTGAATGTTTACATTTTTTTTACAATTTTTGGGCATTTTATTTATATATTAATGAGAATTTCTCTATGTATATGTGACATCAAATTAAAGTCCTTTTTGTCCTCTAAAAAAACGGTATAATTTGTGTTGGTGCAATAAATGACATAGATGCAAATAGGAAAAAATGCAAAAATGGCTTGTGTCCTTAAGGGTCAAGTACAGTTTTTTTTTGAAGCTGCGTCCTTAAGGGGTTAAAGGGCTATATGCAGCACTTGCTTTGAGCGCTGCATACAGCTTATCGGTCAGTCTGGGGTCACTAATTGTGGCACCCTAAAAGCAACCAAAATGGCTGACAAAAGCACATCCGTTAGTGGCAGACATGTTTGCAGCCCCAAATGCCTCCCAACAGGCCTCAGAAGATGGCAGGTATAATACTCCACCCTCCCTGCACACTTAAGAAAACTCAGATTTCCAATGATGCAAGCTGGCACAAGTTAGATATTGAGCAAAGACCTTTCTCACTAGAGAAATCGAAAGCAGCTCGCAGTAAGTTAAGATCGAGATACAGGCCCGGGCTCCTGCACCACAGTGACGAAACAATGGCAAAGTGGTGATGGCCTACAATGCGGCCTTTGAGAATTCTAACTCACTTACCTATCACCTGACACCCATTGAAGACCTCTCCAACAGATCACAATGAAACAACCTAAGAGTGAGGGGGCTTGACACGCTGATGGAAATATTTAGGCCTCTGATACCAGATATGCCAGGTCACCTGTGGCACATATACACGTGTAAGAAACTGATATGCAAAACATTGTATATATTATATCTATATATTGTATGTAACTCTCCGTGCATGTGATTGGTTTCACAACTTGGGGTCATTTATTTGATAGTGTGATAATGACGAAAGCTTTCAGATGCATTTTACAGCACCCAGCAAAAACAATAGCTTACATCCCTCCAGCAGTTCTCATGCCAACCCGTTTTCCATGCATGTTATCAGAGGATCAGAGTAATGAACATCTAGGTGTAACCATTGAAGTGTGTGTTTTCCCAAGCTATCCTGTCTCTAAAAGAAGTCCAGGCCTGCTCCCAATCTACCCAAAAACCAACCCTAACTGGTCACAAGTTACACAATGTTACAGTAAAGTTGGAGGGAAGAGATCAAAGGGAAATACTTGTGTAAAGACAGAACTGGCAAAAGGGAGCGGGATAAGCCACTTTTGGGAGAGAAATGGATTCTGGGACTTGTAGTTAATGACTGCAAGAATCAGTCTTTAAAAGAACAGCCAAGGAGGTTGGACTCCTCTCCTCTCTTTTGGAGAGGACAGCGCAGCAAGCACAGGTGCCATGGTGAACTGAGAGAGACTGTCCCAGACTACCCAAGATGAAGGCGCAAGGGGAAGATCTTCATGTAAATGTCTAAGTATTGCCCTTTTACTATGTATCTTTGGTTATGTACTGGATATGGTTATAATGTGTAATGTGTATATCCTTCTATCTGTAACAGTATCCTAAATCAATATTAACAATACATTTTATTATAGACTTGTGTTTGTATCTTCTTTGTCACACATTCCCTAAAAGAATATCCTCGTAAGAGGGTCATAATTTCTTACACAGGGCCCACTGTACACTGTACTGTAAGCATGCAGAACAGATCACGACACACCCATTGATGATATTATCTGGTTCCAATACCACCAAACTAAAGAGGCTATATTCCAAAGCCGCCAAGAGAATCTGATTACATATACAGGGAGTGCAGAATTATTAGGAAAGTTGTATTTTTAAGGATTAATTTTATTATTGAACAACAACCATGTTCTCAATGAACCCAAAAAACTCATTAATATCAAAGCTGAATATTTTTGGAAGTAGTTTTTAGTTTGTTTTTAGTTATAGCTATGTTAGGGGGATATCTGTGTGTGCAGGTGACTATTACTGTGCATAATTATTAGGCAACTTAACAAAAAACAAATATATACCCATTTCAATTATTTATTATTACCAGTGAAACCAATATAACATCTCAACATTCACAAATATACATTTCTGACATTCAAAAACAAAACAAAAACAAATCAGTGACCAATATAGCCACCTTTCTTTGCAAGGACACTCAAAAGCCTGCCATCCATGGACAGGGCCGGACTGGGGATACAAAGCAGCCCTGGAAAAAAAATTGTGCCAGCCCCATAAGTCACTGCGCCATATATTGTCGCGTGTAATATGTAAGGCTATGTCTTGCCAGGACAGATGATTGAGTAATATATATATTGCTTTTTCTAATATAAAATATTGGTCCTTTCAGGGTAAAACGTTTAATTATACAGTAAGCATACGCACATGCAGACACAGGCAATTTCACTGACATTTCAGTGACACACACAAGCTCATTGATACACAGCCTCAGACAAACAATCTTACTGATATACATCAGCTCATTGACATAAAAACACAAGCTCACTCACTAGCAGGCACACGCATGCAAGCAAGCTCACTCACTAGCAGACGCGCACACACACAGCTTAATGTGGTGGTACTGGTTTCTATAGCATGTCCCTACAGGCTTTTCAACGTAAACACGGACTTTTCAGACAAAAGGCAGTGTTTACATTGCTTCAAAGTGACACTGCTAGTGACAGTCACTCAGACGGTCACTAGAGGTGCTTCCTGTGTTAGTGCCCTCTCGCGCGCTGCTGAATGAGACTGGCGCCGGAATATGACGTCATATTCCGGC